TGACAAGAGCAGAAGCGGAATTATCCTCAACCTGAAATCACACAAATTTGAACCTTGCAGGAGTTCTGTTCTCCTTAAAGAAAAATGTGGATGCATGAAGATTGTTAAACCTTCCTCTTCTTTGGGCCCACAAGATGGTCTTGCAAAACATGTTCCTTTCACAAACTGTAATCAATTAATTAATTAATTTTTAATCAATTAACAAGTATTTATTGACCACCTATTACTATGTGTAAAGCACTGTGCTAAGCTCCCATGTATGATACAGTTTAAAACAAAACAAAACAAAAGAACAAAAGATAGTCTCTCTTGCTCTTAAGAGCTCTGAATCTAATTGGACAGATAAGATATACACATGGGGCAAGATAAGTGGCACCATGAGACTGTCATTGATATGAGCCAAATGGCTAGTTCAAATAGTAAGTGAGAGACCAAGGGGGCAAACTGTCCTGGGCTGGGATGGTCAAGGCAGGCTTCTGAAGACAAGCAGGATTAAGCCTTGGATCTTAGTGTATTCAGTGGGGCGGGAGGCGGGGGATTGAGAAGACTTCATTTAAAGATGACCATGCGAAGTAAATGAAATGAAGGTTAAAATGTAAGCCAATTGTACCAGTTCTCTTCTGTCTCTCTTTTTCTTTCTCTTTCTCTCTCTCTCTCTGTCTCTCTCTCAGGCACACGCACACATGCATGTAAAATATAAGGGGAGAAAGTGCTCAGAGGTAAGTATGCCATACTTTTTGGCCTTTAAATATTAAACAGACTTCTATTGTACTTATTTTTCCTCCCTTCTCCCTCCTCCTCCTCTTTTCCTTCTTCTTTAGCCTTAGTCTACTTAGGAATTGGAGTACCAATCACTTTCAACTGTCCTGTGGCACTACGAAAAACTGTAGAAATTCTCATGGCTGCTTCTGGAGAATCCCAAGGCTCTGGGTCTCAGAACCACAGAATCCTACCCATAAAGGAGCTTTAAAGGCCACTTAGTTCGGGGCTCCTGGATGACTCACTTGGTTAAGCATCTGACTCTTGGTTTCAACTCAGGTCATGATCTTGCAGTTGGTGAGTTCAAGCCCGGCATCGGCCTCCAGGCACTGACAGTGGGGAGCCTGCTTGGGATTCTCTCTCTCCTTCTATCTCTACCCTTCCCCCGCTCATGCTGTCTCTCGTGCACACGTGCACTCTTTCTCAAAATACATAAATAAACTTTAATTTTTTTTTTAAATAATAATAAAATCCACTTAGTTCATGCTACTCTGAAACAAGCCTGACACTGAATCCTTGCAGCAATCACGATGACACTGTGGCCCATCCTGAATATGGTTTCAAAGCTGTTGGAAGAAAATACCTCTGGGGACCCTTCAAACTACGTTCTGCAGAAATTAAATCTAAGACTGTCAGATTGTGATCAATTTTTTTTTGTTTTGGCCATTTATCATTTGCACGAACGCATTATAAATCAGTGAGTATTTTGGTAAAACGCTGATGACATCAGTTTGAAGATCTAATTTCAAATTCAAGACAGACTGCATGCAGGTCAGCCGAAACTAGTTGCATACATGGTAGTGTCCTGCTTGATTCTCGTCAGTGGACATCAAGGAAGAACAGGAAAGAAGGAGGGGAAAGAAGGAAGAGAATGCCTTTAATTAAGGGCTTCCCCTAGGAAATTACCCAAAGCGTGAGTTGAGGTGCCAAAGAGTCCACGTTGCATATTTAGATTCATCTTCTGTTAGACTTACCAATGACAGCCAAGTCAGCTTGCTTGCTGGGCATTTAAATTAGGGGAACAGCAGTTTGCTTTTCCAGGTTTAACTATCTCACAAGTTGTACTCAGAGTTGACTGACTGTGCCATATTCTCTCCAGCCACCCCCCCCAACCCCCCCCCCACCCACACACACACATCCACACAGAGGGAGACTCTTACCTCCACCACATATTATATCTAGGGGGATTCTAATCTAGAAAATGAAGAAACTGGGCCTCTTCCCTAGAATAACAGAAAACTAGCATTCACCAACAATAGACAAGTTATTTTTTATAAATCATTCTGTTGTAATAATTGTGTTCTCCTATGTAAGAGTTTTTCACAAAAATATGTCTTTTGCTCCTTAAGCAAAGCATTTCAATCCTCAATGGGGGATTTGTGGATCATTGTGGTTTTAAGGACAGTTTACAAACTGGCATAACCCTGGATACAAGTTTTGAACAAAACTCAGGGATGTTTAGGAGAAGCCTTTCAAGTTGAATTTTAGGGGCACCTGGGTGGCTCAGTTGGTTAAACGTCCAACTTCAGCTCAGGTCATGATCTCATGGTGCGTGAGTTTGAGCCCAGCATCTGACAGCTCAGAGCCTGGAGCCTACTTCCGATTCTGTGTCCCCCTCTCTTTGTGCCCCTTCTCCACTCGCACTCCCTCTCTCTCTCTCTTTCAAAAATGAATAAACATTAAAAAAATGTTTTTAATTGAATTTTAGCCATTTGTATTGCAACATTTGGAAAAGTAGTCTGTTAAAATCCAGAATTAGGCCTGGTCATTTCCATAACCTTTGGTAAAAACTAAGAACTTTACTATAAATGAATGTTTCTTTCTAACTATTAATTTATTGGAATTAGCAGTTGTTAGTCTTAGAAAAATTCAATACGTGAAACTAAACTAGAAAAACCAAGAGATGGTGTCATTCAATCAAGCAGGATCAAGCAGCGCTTTTCATTTTAAAAACCTGGTCAAAAATAATTGAAGGAATTGTCATTGTTATGTTACTAACATGTTCATTTCTGTATCAATCTTTTCTTTAATTCATTTATTTGCCAAAAAGTATACTCCTTATCTCACTGCAACACGGTGAGATTCTCCACACATCCAAAGAGTTTGTAAAACGGTTTTTTCTTTTTTTTTCCTTTTTTTTTCTTTTTTTTTTTTTTTTGAGGCAACTCTCCTGAAATGCCTAAAATGAAAGGGAGTTATTGATGTCTTCCAGAACTTTAATTGCAAGAACAGCTTTATCTCCCAGGCAGACAGACACTACACAAATGTTTGGTTTACCCCGTATCACACAGTTAACAAGGCTCTTGTAGGTTCAAGGAAAACAGATTGTAAGGCTTTGCCAGGAGGACTTAACATTCTAGGGGGGAGAAAACTGACAGATAATTCTGAAGACAGTGAATTTTAAAATAACCTCAACGTAGACATAATCCTCTAGGAAAAGGTAGAGTGTGGAATGGGAGTTTTTAGAAAAGATGAGAATGGGTGTAAAAGGCAAGGAAAGAAATGTGTTGTTTGTTCGTTTGTTTAACTCCTGTACAACTAGTGCAAGCATCCTAAGAAGATGGTTTGTGCATCGTGAGGGCCCTCATTTCCGACCTAATAATCCAATCTTCCTTAATTCAAAATTGTTCAAACTGTAGAAAGAAAAAACCTGACGAAAATAGTCTTGCACCTAACTTGCCTGTTTCAGTTGAATGCTAAGTCTACCTTTCAACTAAGCTTTAAAAACGTAGTTTTCCTGTGCGTGCTGTGCAGGCGCGTTCCCCGCACTGTCCTTGCCCCACCACGGGACGGAAGGTAACAAAGTGTCTTCACATGCTTCTTCTGAGTGTACATCCCGTCTGCGTTTACTAACTTACCAATGGGCTTTGTTTGTGAGGAAGTTATGAGACTGACATTTATGGCTCTCCAGGCAAAAGAGAACAAAAAGAGGAGATTCCGCATCTTAAATCTGTTTACCAGCTGCTGGAAAAGGTCAACTTTGGGCACCAACAGCTCATACAAAATCCAAAGGTATCCAAGCCGGCCCTTCCCCATTTCTCATGTGGGGCTGTAAAACACAAAAGCTGCACAATACCTGCCAATAGACTGGCTGCCAGACTAAATTAAGGCATGGTGAAGAAATTACATGTGCTTCTGTGAGAAATGGAGTCTTGAAAGACCAGTTCTTTGCTCACATCCCATGAGTTAAATTGCTTAAAAGCAGACATTGTGGTTATGGTTCCCCGCCATGTGGTATTTGCTGAGCTCTCACTGGATATCCTAAAACACTTAAGCCTAAAAGGTTTAGGATGTCTTTGGAGGCCATAATTTGGAGAGAACAACTTTATCTTTGTGGGAGACACAGGACACAACCCAAATGTTTGTTAGATCCCTTCTCTTTTTCTTGACGAGCTTATCACACAGTTCTCAAGCAAATGGTATGGGAAAGTAAATGATTTCGTGGAGAAAAATCACTGTGGTTTACCAATGCTAAGGCTAGAGGCTTCAGTCAGGTGACACTCTAGGTTCACAGAGAACTGAAGACAAGTTGAACATAGTTCCTCAAAAGTCAATAAGATACGGGTCATATACCTTGACACTGGATTTGTAGGGAAATGCCAAGAAAGTTCAAAGGTGGGATTTGTTACAATGGTAGAGGGGTAAATGTTCCAGGCAAATGGGAGAGAGATGGCAGGAGAGGTCAGCAGGTACCTACAAAGGGATTTTCTAACCCAAGGACTACTCTTTAGAGAATTTTCTCTTCTATTAAAAGGACTACTTGGGCCAAAGAACTAAGAGGGGGTAGACAGAATAGTAGAATTTTCAAACAGACAGAAATGTTGAAATATTCATAAACCACACATGGATCATCTCATCTCTGCTTAAAATCCTCCATGGGTTTCTTCTCACTTCTCTTCATGTGAAACCCATGGCCTGGTCCCCATCCCTGCCCGTCTCTGCAGCCTAGTCCCACAGGACAGCCTCTCCAACTTCACCCCACTCCCACCCCCACCGCGCCCACCCCACACTCCCTCTGCTGGTGGTCCTCATGCTCACCTACCTTGTCAGTCTCAGGGTCTCCGCCCATCATGCTGCTTTGACCTATGCTCTTTCTTTACCTCTCGGATGGACCCACTATCATTTATAATTATTTCATTTAGTTGTTTATTTGGTTTTGGTCTACTTGTACTATCTGATAAGCATCTTGAAGTCAAAGACCATGTCTTTCTTGTTCTGTTTTATTATCAGGGTGAATCACAATACCTGGCACCTGGTAGGTGCTACACAAAAGTTTGTTAAACAATATAATGCAAATGAAGGCACTGAGGTTAAAAGAGATCATTTCCTGGAGCTCTCCCATACCATTAACAGCAGAAGTTGGCTGGCCACTCAGATTTCCTGAGAAATCCTGGTTTCCAGGGGAAGCTGGAATACTCTCAGGTAAGAGCATCAACATTTATACAGAATTTATGACTTCAGGTGACATTTATCCTTTTGGAGAGATAATTCAAGAGAAGAAGCTTTGAGAAGGAGACTGAATGAAGTCACCTGCCCTAGGGGTATTCAGAGTGCGAACTGATGCCCTTGACCACACCCCACCACCCCCCACACCCACTTCCGGGTTTCCTTTCTGTCTCTTGTCTTAGAATTATTCTCGAAGGCCATGGTTGCTGGTCTTCACCCTCTGGTTTTCCTTCTTTTCTTATTTCTAGCACATGCTCTGTTCCGCCTTTTGGAATGTCCTATCTATATGCCCAGAGCATTGCTTGGAGGTGAAATTGCAGCTTTTCATTTCTCGTGCTTATTTGGGGGGTGTGGAGAAGTGAGATAGAAGAAAGAGGCAAGAGATTAAATAACATTCTGTTGTCAGCTAAGATATGAATCCAGCCATTTATTAGATGTTATCTTATGCTAGGAAGAAGAAGACACTTTATTGATTTGCTTTTTTTGTTAACATTTTAAAGGAAATTTCAGTCTTGATTTGGTAACTCCCCTGAGAACCTTCAGTACCACAAAGGGTGTTACAAAATCTAAAGTCTCAAGGGGCTAAAATCATTTAAACTAATAAACATGACATACAATCCTTTGTGGGGCCTTGGGAAGGGTAATAAATATCATGAAATCAAGCAATGATCAGCTCTTAAAACTCCCCAAAGGGCAATCATCACAGGCTGAATGATTTGTTCTTGGTGTTCGTTTCTTTTTAACCTCATCTTTTCTTCATAATCATCCCATTTATGCTCACAGACCCTTTCACAGGCAATAATAATACTAATAATAGCTAGCCTCTACTGAATGCCTACTATGAGCCAGGGACTTCACATTTTCTTTATTCCTTACAACAACCCTAATAGTTAGGTATGGTTATCAACATTTCAAATGAAAAAATTAACATTTAGAGAACTTACGTATATTGCTCAAGATCTGTAAGTAAGTAAGTAAGATCTGTCAGATACTCTAAGCCTATATCTAACACCAGTAGTTGTGCCCTTGGTGGCAAGGGTGGGGTGAGAGCATGGGAGAGTGGGGGAGACTTTAGTCCTTTTCCACATACCAATGTCCACCAGCCCAAATACAGAATCTAAAGACAGAAGAATCTGTGTTTGCTATGCAAACCCTACTTCAGAATAATTTCCTTGATCTCCTCACCCCCTTCCCAACATGTTTGCCACATCTGAGGTCATTTTATATGTACCATTATATGACATATCATTATGTCACATTTCATGCAAACACAATCAAGTACCATGGAAATTTGAACTTCAACAATTGGATTCAAAATCTAGTGTACTGGATTTTGCATCATGGCCAGAAAACTAAAATTTTTACATAACAAACTGAGTCTTCTTACTTATTTTCTTCAGCTCTCTGTGTATCCAAAATGCTTTTATTTGATGCTATCTGTGCAGTTGGGAACTACATTAGGACATAAGGTACATACTTGATCTTTCAAAAAGCATCCGGAGCTAAGGAAGCCCATTACGTTAGAACCTCTTTGTTCAATATAAACAGGGATAGAAACCCAAACAAAATGTGTCTAACTGATGTACTATCTCTAAAGCCTGATTGCTAGCAGCAGTGAGAAGATGCTAAAGATCCTAAAATTGTCTTCGATACAGAGCCTCTCTCCCATTGCCCTTTCTATGAAGCCAGCCCCATTAGAGCTAGCTTCGAGTGTTTCTCACAACCAAAAGAACACAACAAATCCCACACCCACGTGGAATTTAAGCAACATATTATTAGACAAGTAGTGGGAATTACAATTTTAAAGACTAGGCATGCTTATGGTCAATTTAAAAAGCAGAAAACAAAATTTTATCTATGCTATTGTGGAAGAAGAATATTTTTGAAATATTGCTTTTCCCCAGTATTTCCTTTTCTGCCTTTGACTCCTCCCTCTACTCAAGCACTGGATTAGACCTTTGTCATCTCAGGAAAAGGTCAAGGTAGCATTAAGCAGAGAAAGGGACTCTTCAGATTTCTGAATGGAGTCCCTTAGAAGAACAGAAAAGACCCAGGCTAGAAAAAGATTAGGAAAGGAAAATTGGAAGAGGAGCATAGAGAGCAGAAGGTCACAGTGACAGGGGCCTGGACTTTACCCTAGAGGCTCTTCTCCAAAGAGGAGGTAAGGCCCCAGAGAAGAGATGGCAGCATGTTTAATGGTTGAAAGCCTTCCCTGTGCAGTTCCCCAGCAGGGCCGTTGTGTGAGAGTCAAACAATGATCTCCCCACACCCAAAAGTGGCACGGAAGGAGTCCTGAAATCCGATGAGACCACATGGGGTTATGGGAGTCTCCCCAGTGGCTTCTTCAATGGCTGGCGATAAACAACGCGCGAGGAACAATCACGGTGATGGACATCTCAGAAGATGCTGATGCGGCTAGACGAAATTGTCGATCCGGTGCAAGCTCCCTAAGAACATAGATCTGACCAAGGAGAAAGAAGAGAGAAGTATAGCAAATCAACTGAAATTACGTGTCTGCCACACCCAGAAGAATGGGGGTGGAAACAGAAATTAATACACCAAGTCAGAGCAAAGTAAAGAAAGTTAAGTATCTTGCTTTTCTGCATTTAGGGACTAAATTTCATACCTTCTAACCTGTGATTAAAACGGTAAGTGAGATTTGTGAATTAACATTTTAAAAAAAATGAGAACCACCATGATTTCTCTGAAAGTGTGTTTTTTTGTCTTCAAAGGGAGAATAATAAAAAGGTCTATAATCTAGAATTAGAATGCACACAAAGAAATAATAAATTATTATCAAATGATACCTAAGTAATTATGTGTTGGAGTTGTTAGATGGTGAACTTTCATTTTCCCTCATTTTTATTGCCCATGCTTGTGGGTTTTATTGTTGTTCTTATTGTTTTAAGAAATGAAGACAAAAGGGAGAGAAAGAAGAGAGAGAGAAATGGAAAAAAAGATTAAGAAGAGAGGCTCTTTAAGTAATGTTATGTAGCTAGAACATATGGCCATTGGTAAAATATGGAGTGGGAAATGCGGAAGGGGAAAAATTGTAGATGGTCTTAAATCTCAGACTGAGACCCTGCAATCAATGAAGAGCCACATGGTCAAATCTATTTAAAAACAGCACTCTGGTAGTTTAGGGGTGGGGCTCCTAAGATCAGAGATAGGGAAATCAGCTCCCAGGTTATTGCAATGATGTTGACATAAAATCATGAAACAGTTCAGGGAGTGGTAGCAGGAATGGAAAAGCAGGTCTGGAGGAAAGAGCTATTTAGGAGGTAGCAAGTTAGTGAACAATGGGTGAAAAAAATCATCACTGAGAAGGATACTGAGCTGTCAAACCTTCAGCCTCCTCTTGAAGTGGCTGGGCTTTTATGAGGAGGTTGAGCAGCTTGGGTGTCATTTTGAAACTGGACAGAACTAAAGACTGCTGGGGAATGCTGGCCACGTAGCGACTGCACAGAGAGCAGCTTCAGACCACAGCTACTGACCTGCTATCCTGGGGCTATAGGCCTCCTCCTCTCCCACTGCTCCAAGCTGCCTGACCACTAATGGGAAATGCCTGCAACCAGAGCAAAAATAAAGCACCGAAGCTTCCGGATCTCCTCTTCACACTGCCCAACTAGGAGAGGAAAAGCTGAGTCAAGAGCTCCTGCCTCCATTTCTGTGAGATTCATCTCCTCCTTTCTGCAGCCCCTTTGTAGTTGGTGGAGCACAGCTCTCCCTAAGCCTGGTCACAGGGATCTCCCCTTTTTGCTCTACAAGCAGCAATGAGGCCAGCAAATTTGAACACGATTTTTTTTGAAAGCTTGAGTATTACAAAAAATAAATACAGGGGCGCCTGGGTGGCGCAGTCGGTTAAGCGTCCGACTTCAGCCAGGTCACGATCTCGCGGTCCGTGAGTTCGAGCCCCGCGTCGGGCTCTGGGCTGATGGCTCGGAGCCTGGAGCCTGTTTCCGATTCTGTGTCTCCCTCTCTCTCTGCCCCTCCCCCGTTCATGCTCTGTCTCTCTCTGTCCCAAAAATAAATAAACGTTGAAAAAAAAAATTTTTAACAAAAAATAAATACATTCGGAGAACAACATGAATCCCCCAAATTCATGAGATCCAGCCCCCTCTCCCAGATCACACAGCCCATCTTATTCCATGGGCCCCAGGACAGAAGCAGGGACCCCTTGTACCTTCCATCCTTGGCCTCAAACTTCTTCCTCTCGGTAGAGGCCATCTCTAATTCCCGCCACACCAGAGGCACAGCATTCCCGACCAACCATTTGAACTCTGGATTTATTGTTTTCTTTACAGCTGCCCCGGTCCCCAAGAATTCTGAAAAAAGTAGTTGTATCATTTTTACTATATTTTAAGTTTTGAAGTGATAAGCAACCTTTTAAGAAAGGTTAATATTAGAAAAAAAAGTTTTAGAATTGCTCACAGATTTTAAAAACCTTCAGAAAACATATTAGTATTTTGTATATTCTTTCTTCTAGTGTTTATATATAAATATATTACATAGCTTTGACTATACTGTATATACATATACCTGGTTTTTTGTTACATTTATTATATCATAGACATGTTCTCATATTGACTTTTATACCCTTTATTTTGTTTTTTGTTTTTGTTTTTTTTTAACAATTTCTAAAGTTCCATAATTACATTACCATTTCTATATTTAGGGCTATTAGACTGCTTCCATCATAAAATGATTTCTCATTCATTTTTTTTCTAATTATATAACGATTTTAATTGTTGAAAATGTGGACTCTAAGAAAAATAATAAAACCACCTACACACAAAATTGTGACATACAGTGTACAGATCTGATTTCAACCTTGTCTCATTTGCTTTAGCCTTATATGGTTACACGGCTTACACGGTTACAGGGATTTAAGCTTATATGGTTATTCTTCATAGAGGAAATGTGCTCTAAGGTTATTGTCAGTCATTTGATCCCAATGAAGCTCTTGTCTCAGCACAAAGTCCCAGACAGTTCTTCCCCACATTGAGGCTAGCTCAAATCTCAGTTTTTTAGATAGTACCACTGCCATCAGCAGTCACCCCGAGGCAGCCCTGTCTTCCCAGGGGCTTGATCCGCAAAACCACAGATCTTAGTCTCCCATTTTCTCCTCTTCTGTAGACTTCCGCCCCTCTGGCGAAGCCAGCAGAATCTCCAATAATGTGTCTTCTCCAGGGCCAGTTGTCTTACATTAAGAGATTGCCCGGGAGCTTCCAGTCTGCACCACCCAAAATGCTCAAAGCAGGAATTGGCAGATTTCTTAATTTCTACATTATTTTTTTACATTGCTGAGTGTTTTATAATTGCTTTACTCAGCAAGCCTGGGAAATGTGTAAGTAGTCATCAGTTTTACAGATTTAGGAATTACGGTTCAGAAAGGTTAAAGACTTGCCTTAAATAGACACAAAATTATATCATTAGAGAATCAAATGAGAACTCTCTTTTCTATCAAAGTTACATTCCTCTTGGGGTAAAGATAAACGAAATTGTAATAAAGAAAGTACATGTGTTGGTCCAATAAGGGGATGGGGTGGGGAGCAAAAGCAGAGAGAAGGAGGTGAAAGGCAAATGGAAGAGCAGAGATGCAACAAAAGGCAGAGGTTGTAGGGGAAAAAAGCAATTTTGTAGCCTTGTCCTCTCAAAAAGGCTCATTGTGCGTGCGCATTTGTGTTTGTGGGGAGCATGTTGGTTCCCGACTTGATCCACATGTAGGCTGTTTGCCGATTGGCTCACCTCCATTCTTGTACGAGCAGAAAGGAGGCTTCCTACCCACCCACCACCCACCCCACCACCCCTTTCCTTCAAGGGTCGCTTTTGAGTTGTACATGTGGAGACAGAGGGTTTGAGCCTCACATGGGCTTAGTGTCAGTGCATGCCAACAACCTACATCTTCACTATGCTTACAATGACTCCTCCAAGCCTCATCATGCTCTTCAGCCAACCCTGCCGCTTAGCACCGTCCCAAACTCCTGGACAGCTCTCTCCCTCCCATCCTACCCCAAATCATTCTGTCACTGCCAAGGGGGCTACAGGGGAGGGGATGGACTGCAAGACTACACTTCTCTTCATTGTCTCAACCCTCAGGTCCTCAGAGCACCATTAAACAAGGCTGCTCTATTCAAGGTTTGAGTTTGGTCAGTTTGATCAAGGTTTTGAGTTGTCTGTGGTGAGGGGAGAGGGGAAGCTTTCCTTCCCCTGTATACCTTTTGTATAGTTTTTAAATTTTGTCTTGGGTGTGTTTATTACTTACTCAAAGGTAAAAACTAAGATAAAGCCATGAATGTTATATATAACTGTTTCCAGAGTTCAACTAAAGGAAACATCTCATAGAGTTCTACTCGTTGGCATACCTCAGTTCCAGGTCTGACTTTTTGTCTCAGGATCACCTCTCTACTTCCTCCCTCTCTTAGTAAAGGTCACATTTCAATTCTTAGCATGAGAATTTCCATTCATTCACAGAAACCCCAACTTTCTGGCCACAATGGTGTGCCCTGACCTGCAATCTGGCTCGACAACCAAAACAACCCATAAGACACCCTAATCAGCAGAAGTCTAATTCTCAAAATCTGAGCAATTTCATCTAGAATAACCATTATAAAGTTGTCATCTAGAACAACAGTAATCCAGGATGGCCTTTGCCAATTCATTTCCCAATATTTTCTGGATTCCCTCTGCCAGGGTCAAGAGGAGACGTGATTTCTCATTCTCTTTGTGATCTCCTGATCTTGACTGTGTGTGCCCTATGGGTGAAATACACACCCACACACATCTGAAAGATAAATAATAATTCTTAGAGATCATATTGTCTAAATCATATTAAATGGAGAAAACTTCCTACGTGTTCTGATAAACTGCAAAGACTTATCCTGAAATAAACTCTGAAAATAGACCTTTACATTATTCCCCGGTGCCATTATTTGTTTCCTTTCTTCAATCTCCAACTTCCAGGCTGTGTCCTAAAGGTTTACAGGTGACAAAGACACTGCCATCACAAGTCCTGCTCAAACAGAAGAACTATTTACCTCTGATCTTTATTCTTAACTACATTAAAACAAAAAATAAATGAAAAAAAAAAAAACAAACAAACATAAAAAAACAACCCTGACATTCACTTTGAATTCATAGGTTCTGACAAGGTCATGTCATCTGCAAATAGAGATAGCTTTACTTCTTTCTTTCCACTCTGGATGTATTTTCTTTTCTCTTTTATTGCTTAATTTCCTGGGCCATAACCTCAAGTACAATGTTAAATAGAAGTGGTAATAGCAGACATCCTTATCTTGTTTCTGATCATAGGAAGAAAGCTTTTAGTCTTTCACTATCTTGTATGTTAGCCGTGGGTATTTTGTAGATGCCTTTTATCTGGTTGAGGAAGTTCCTGTTCATTTCTAGTTTGTTGAATCTTTTTAACATGAAATGTGTTGGGTTATCTTCAAATGCTTCTCCTCCATCTATTGTGATGATCGTGTAGTTTTTATCCTTTATTTTATTTATGTGATGTATAATTTTAATTGATTTTCACATGTTGAGCTAACCTTGCATTCCTGGTGTAAAACTGACTTGGTTGTGGTGTGTAATCCCTTTAATATGCTGCTGGATTGGGTTTGTTAGTATTTTGTTGGAGATTTTTAGATCTATGTTCATAAAGGATATTGGTCTTTTGTTTTCTTTCCTTGTTATATCTTTGTCTAGGTTCAGTTTCAGGGCAATATTGATCTCATGGAATGAGCTGGAAAATCTTCCTTCCTCTTCCATTTTTTGAAAGAGTTTGTGAAGGATTTGGGTCAATTCTCTAAACCTTTGGTAAAAATCACCAATTAAGCCATCTGGGCCTGAGATTTTCTTTGTAGGAAACTTCTTGTTTACAAATGACTTTAATGGTGAAGCCTTTTCTTGCTTTTAAACAAACATAGAATGATTCATGCTCCCCAGGTTACCACCACCACAACTCCTCTTGGTCTGAGATTGAAGAGAAGAATCACTGTGGAAGAGATTGAATATGATTTGTTCATTGGCCTCTAAAGTAATTTCTTACACTCTCTCTGGTGCTTCTGCCAAGAGAGGATTTTCCATCTTTTCTAACAAGGAGGCAGGGACCTGGGTAACAATGAGAATTGAATCAACAGTTGTAGCTTCATGAAGAAATTCCTTTTTGTTATAAATTGCAAGAACATGTATACATAATATTTAGAAATACTATTCCTATTTATTTTGAACCCTAATTAATAGATATTAAATTATTTGTTTATTGAAATGTTAATAATATATTCAGTTGTATAAGTTTATCTGCACTAAATTTATCTGTTCCATATCTGTACTAAAAGTATAAAAACATACACAGGAGGGATACAAACAGGGTAATAGTTATTTCTAGAGAGAGAGTGGAAAAGAATTAGAGATAGAACTTTAGTTATATAGATAATATTTGCTTGCTTTTTAAAAATGAGAGGAAGAGGGGCACCTGGGTGGCTCAGTCGGTTAAGCATCTGACTCTTGATTTCAGTTCAGATCACCATCTCGTGGTTCATGGGTTTGAGCCCTGTATTGGGCTCTGCACTGACAGCTCAGAGCTTGCTTAGGATGCTGTCTCCCTCTCTCGGGGCCCCTTTCCCGCTCGTTCTCTCCCTCTCAAAATAAATAAATAAGCAAAAAATAAATAAACATTAAAAATTCTTTTCAAAATGAGAAGAAGAGAAATTTGAAACAAATGATACATTCATGTTAACGTGTCAAATTTGGGTAGAAGGTTCTTGAGTGTCTAATCTTGATGGGCAGGTCAAAACAGGAATTATTTAAATAAAAGGAACATTGATGTTTTAGATGGTGCTTTTTTAAGTTTAATGTTATGATAATAAATGAAGGAAGTGAACAGTAAATTACAAAAGAGGAAATGAAATTGCCCCACCCTAATTATCCTTCTGGACTGAGGGACTGACTTACTCCTCCAGCTTTGGGAATTGCCTTGGCTAAAGAAATCTGCCTCACCCATGCTCCCCTTAGTCACCCTTCATCCAATGGTTGGTCAGTGCAGGTATGAAAACCTGTTCCCTTGCCCTAACTTGGAACAATTCTGAAAAGACATCCCAGCTTCAAAATCCCCCATGGTTTATCTGAGACAATTGTGAAATTGCCCCTCAGCCCAGCTTCTCCCTCTGTTGAGTCCTGCTTTGTTCGTCTCCCCCACAGGTATTGACCCCAAGAACTTTCCTGATCACAAATCTCCATCTTGGGATGTGCGTTCTGGAGAACCCCACATGCGACATATATGTATGTATATAAATACAAAACCTCACTAATAACCACAGAAAAAGTCCAATTTAAACCAGAAAACATTCAATTATGGTCAGAGCAGAATGGTAGATGCCGTGCTGTGGCAGAGCTTGCCAGTTTCCTATACAATGTTTACCACCCCTTTTCACCCAGTGACAGAATCCTGATTTGATTTTGAGACAGCAGTGTGCTCTAATAGAAGGATATATTTCCCAGCCTCCCTTGTAGCTAGATGTAGATATGTAGAGAGATTTATTTATTTATTTATTTATTTATTTATTTATTTATTTGTTATATTATTATATTTACATGACATTACATTATACGTGATGTTACATTCACATTTACATTATAAAATAAAGCCATATGAAATGACTTCTGGAAGTCCACCAACACTTTAGGAAAGTAAACTCAGGAAGTATTTTTTTGACAGCTTTCTTCCTCTTTCCTGCTGCCAGATGGGGGATGTAACAGCTAGAGCTCCAGCAATCATACTGTGACCCTAAGGACGGCAGCCACAGTGGCACGTACACAGCTGGGTGCCTAATGATTTCATGAAGCACCGTATCATTCTGCTTCCTCTGGACTTAACAAAATACAAGGGCTTTGGGGAATCTTACATATGAAGCTTTGTCAACCTTAAGCATTTCAGCCACTTAGTTTTGTTTTGTTTTAAATTTTTGATATCTTTATTTTTTCGAAGTGGCTGTTACCGTGACTTTATTTATTTGCTTGTTTGTTTTTTGCCACTGTTAGTTTTTACTTTCTATCATAAACTGCCAAACCTAATTATAACTGAAGCAAATGGGTTACAGTCTAAAGGTAAAATAGAAAATGAAAAAATAATTTTGGAAAATGAGTGTTTGGCTTGTCAATGTTCTTAAGGAGTAATTCTATTTGCAGAAATAAATCCTAAGGAATTGTGTGTGTGTGTGTGTGTGTGTGTGTGTGTGTGTGTGTGTGTGCATGTGTGTGTGAAGCTTTAACAGAGACATTTATACTATAAGAAAAATAGAAACTACCTAAATAGCAACATAATGGAATGGATAATAAAATGTGATGCATTCACTGAATTAAGAAATTAAAGAAACAAAGAACATTTTTATTAAAAAAAAACTTTTTTGGGAACAATTTAAAAATATAGAAATTTATGAAGTCAAAGAAATAGCCTCCCTCTCCTACTATACCATCCTCACTCTTAACTGTTTAGTCTAGTGTATATATTTCCATAATTTTTCCTTTATCTGTATGAACAAATACAGATATATGTTCACATTTACAAGGTGTTTCAAAATTGGATTATAATACATATATAAAGAATATATATTGTACTGTGAGCATGTCTCCTTTCTCTATGTTACTGATAATTAACATGGAGACATGCTCACAGTACAATAAAAAGTTTTACAAATACTATATAAAGTTGAGGGGCATCTGGGTGGCTCAGTCGGTTAGGTGTCCAGCTTCGGTTCAGGTCAGGATCTCATGCTTCGTGGGTTTAAGCCCCACGTCAGGCTCTGTGCTGACAGCTCAGAGCCCAGAGCCCACTTTGGATTCTGTGTCTCCCTCTCTCTGCCCCTCCCCTGATCACACTCTGTCTCTCTCTCAAAAATAAATAACATTAAAAAAAATTAAAAATACTTATATATGAATTTGATATACAGCAAGATCTCAATTACTTTTCAAAAAGTGCCTAGAAAAAAAAGCCTGAAGTGAAACATATAATAAACAAATGTGTAAATGAATGAATATTAAATTCTAATTGCCAATATTAATAGTTTACTATTAATAATAAATACATTTTCTCCCAGAACTAATACAGAGTTTTTTCCACAATCCACACAAGACTAAAAGTAAAAAATATCTTACTATATTTCAGGGGAAATATGGGAGACGGAGGGCACATATTTGAACCACCTGCCTCCCAATCCCATCCAAAATGACCTAGAAAACTTAAAAATATGCAAAACCCTAAATCAGTACTGGAAGCTAGGGAAGGAAACCATACAAATGCCAGAAACTTCAAAAGAATTTCTTCTAAATCCTGTGCAGTTGGGACCATATTTAAAAAAGACATCCAAGGCCAAATTTGCCAGACACCAAAGGAGAAACATCCCCTGGAGGGGTGAGGCCTTGGAAGCGGACGACATCAGTGATCCTTTTCAGTCTTGAAAATTGTGTGAGTTTGAGCGTTAACACAACAGTGGAAGTTGGGAACAGAAAGCTTGTGAACAGTGGCCATAGTTGTATTATTGGATGGTTTCCCCAAGCTTTGAAGACCTTCCCTGTGTCTGCGGAGCTGGGCATGAAGGCGAGGCATAAGTAGCTCCCCAAAGCCTCAGGCTGTCACTAGCAGCAGTATTCCTTGACGATGCAGTGGGCGCTGGGCTGGAATCCTTGGCCTGGGTGTATCACACACCCACAGTAAGCTTGGAGGTACCTCTGGAAGCCCTAGATAGGAAGCCTACCACAAAATCTGTCAAACAGCACAGCCCTTATGCCAAATACAAAGAAACTTTGTAAGTTGAAATTTCGATAACCATATATTTTTTTTTCAATTTTGACTTCACTCTCACACAACACGTAAGAATTAATTTGAGATGGACCATAGATGTAAATGTGAAAAGTACATCAATGAAGTTTCTAGAGGAGAGCATAATGTCTTCATGATCCCTGGACAAAACTCCTTAAATAGAACACCAAAAGCACTACCCAGAAAATAAAAGATGGAAAAATTGAACTTCATTTAAACAAAGAATGTATATTTGTCAAAAGACAATATTAAGAGAGTAATAAGGCAAGCCACAGATTGGGAGGAGATATTAGCAATAGATATACCTGACAAAGGACTCATATCCACACCATATAAAGAATTTCCACCAATTAATAAGAATAAAATAGGAAAACAAACTAAAAATGGGTAAAATGCTTTAACGGTCAGCTTAGAAAATGACCAGTAAGTGTGAACATTATTAGTAACAGGAAAGCAAATTGCCAATGATATCAAGTGTTGGCAAAGATGTGCAGCAATTGGAACGCTCATAAATTGTTGGTAGATGTGTAGCGATTAAAAAGCTGCTTTAGGAAGGTGTTTGACAGTGTCCACTAAAACTAAACATATGTATACCCTATGGCCCAGAACTCCACTTTTAGGTACTTACCGTACAGAAATGAATGCTTGTATCTACCAAAATACATGTGCTAGGATGGTCATAGCAACTTTATTTATGAAGCCAAACATCTATAGGAGAACAAGTATATGGATTTTAGACTATCCATATCCATATGAAAGAAGAACAAACTACTCCTATGCGAAAACATGGATGGGTCTCAACATAACATTGAGCAAAATAAGCGAGACTCAAAAAAGTAAGATGGCAGTTGTGTCCTCCGAGAAGCAGACGCCAAGACTGAGTTAGAAGTACAAAATATTGGGAATGCAAATTGGTGCAGCCACTCTGGAAAACAGTATGGAGGTTCCTCAAAAAATTAAAAATAGAACTACCCTAGGACCCAGCAATTGCACTACTAGGTATTTATCCAGGGGATACAGGTGTGCTGTTTCAAAGGGGCACATGCAGCCCAATGTTTATAGCAGCACCATCAACAATAGCCAAAGTATGGAAAGAGCTCAAATGTCCATCGATGGATGAATGGATGAAGAAGCTGTGGGGTATATATGCAATGGAGTATGACTAGGCAATCAAAAAGAATGAAATCTTGCCATTTGCAACTAGATGGCTGGAACTGGAGGGTATTATGCTAAGTGAAGTTACTGATATTTGTCAGAGAAAGACGAATATCATATGGCTTCACTCATATGAGGACTTTAAGAGATAAAACAGACGAACATAAGGGAAGTGAAATAAAAATAATATAAAAATGGAGGAGGAGACAAAACATAAGAGAT